GGAATTTGAAGTATTTGGATGTTGAAAGTATTATTCAATAACTGTTTTCATTCCTATGTTTTTCAAGTCAAAGTGCCAGTAATGAAGCAAACATGTAGGTACATACAATACAAATAAATAGTTGATCTTTGTTATTTATTTGAAAAGTACAACTACCAAGGACAGGTTTGACATTTCCAGAAAAGAAGTTGCTGGTCCACCCTGTTTGTGATAGGAAAATTGAGAATATTCATTATGTTTCATATAACTGGTCTCTTCATTTTTTTCTTAAAACAGGGCATCTCATCTACAGGAATACTGATTGTATTAGTCCCTCTGTTGATTGCTTTTTGTGTCAACCAAGCATATTTATATCTCTGGAAGAACCCACATTCTTCCTGAAAACAATGATATAGAGTTGAGTTTCAGGAGTTTACCAATATCATTATTAGGGAGAGTTCTTCTTACCTGACACAGACAGTGGACTGTAAACATAATAAGGCATAATACTTATTATACTTCAATGCAATCATTTGCATCCATTTTTGACCAGCCAAAACCAGGTGGCCCGCATTTATGAGCTCAGCTTCATTTTGGAGACACTGAATCACTGAAAAAGTGTAGACAGATTGAAATGAACAGGCTAAATGGCCAAATCATAAGAATTCTTGTTCAATAATGATAAAAACTTACAGCTTATCATTATGTTGGTATAGGCACAGGTATAGGTTTTAGGTTCAACATTCCAACTAGAGGTAGGTAGGTGTTCTACTGTTAAACATCAGAGATATCATTGTCCTCAATCAAAACACAATGAACCACTGGAAAACACGGATTTAAAAAATACACAAATATCAAAGCTGAGAATGATTGAGAACTCAAAACGAAATTAACATAAACACACCTCTCAATAAACACCATCACCAAAACCAAACAATGTAAAATGTAAACAATCAAATAGTACTGGCATTCGCCGTTCTGGCTCTGGCGCTACGATCTCTCTTTCGTTTGACATGGCGGTATTTTCAAATCATCCCACGCGATTTATAAAATAACTTACTCTGAACAATCTATAACCTCTATGTATTACGGTGAAGTTATAAAAATTATGAAATTGAAAATATTCTATTAGCCTGAATCAATATGATCATACCTATATTTTTTATTAAAAGTTTAACGCATATTATATGAGAATAGAACCATAACTAAGTGTGGAATTCAGGAATTCTGAGAGTGGAGAACGTTCAGATATATGACACACTAAATGTCATTATGATTAATACTTATTATAATATACCAAATATCATTATTGCTTATTTGTATTATTACGATGTCTTTAAGACGTATTCAGGACGTGAGAATCAGATATCTTTAAAACGTCTGAATGATGACATCTTGTAGACGTCTTATTCAGGGAGTAAGACGTACAGACTAAGATAGGATATAATTCAGACATCTTAAAGACGTCTTGTGCTATCTGGGGTGTATCAAAATGAGATTTGGTATAGGTAAATGGTATGTGAAGAGGAGAGTTTTCACATAGTTTTCACTTTCCGGTCACTTCTGGTTTCACCGGAAATGGCTCCGGTTCTAAATTTTCAAATGGAACACCATGTATATACATTTTTGGATTTCTGAGACAATTCTAGATCAGAATGTGACATTTTCGAAAGTTTTTATGCCTACTTATTATTTCGGAGTCACTTTTGAAATTACATCTAGGTGGCCATGATCGGAAGTAAACTAATCTATAAGGACCTCAGGTGATATCAGAAAATTACAATCGCGAAGTTTTAGTGACAAGTATGATGAATATGAATAAGACAAGTTGGCAAAATTACATTTTCGTGTCTAACTATTATTTTCCAAATGGCGACCATTTTTTGACAAGCACTTTCCGAAAAAAGGATATTTTGACGAATCTAACGATACTAATTTATTTGCGATTGGATTACAAATAAGAACATAAATTAAATATTACTGACGAAAAAACTTCATAATAATTTATTTACTTTTGTGAAGTGCGCCGAGGATAGGCATGAAGCATAATATTTTGCAGTTATTTCGATCAAGTCTTCTTGGGAGAACAAATCACTCACTTAGGTTATGACAGTGACATTTGACATAAGCTGCAAGAGCAGAAGGTAAATTTTTTTCAAAAAATGGTCGCCATTTTGAAAAATAATAGTTAGACACGAAAATAAAATTTTGCCAACTTGTCTTATTCATATCTATCATACTTGTCACTAAAACTTCGCGATTGTAATTTTCTGATATCACCTGAGGTCCTTAGATTAGTTTACTTCTGATCATGGCCACCTAGATGTAATTACAAGTAGGCATAAAATCTTTGGAAAATGTCACATTTTGATCTAGAATTTTCTCAGAAATCCAAAAGTGTTACAATATACAGGGTGTTTCATTTAAAAATTTAGAACCGGAGCCATTTCCGGTGAAACCAGAAGTGAACGGAAAGTGAAAAATATGTGAAAACTCTCCTCTTCACATACCATTTACCTATACCAAATCTCATTTTGATACACCTAATGGTCTAGAAGTTATGACTTGTCTAATAGATTCGTTGACACCCGGTATAGTAATTGTACGAGAAAACTCTAAAAATGAGATAAGATGTAAATATCACAGGGGTGAATGTTTCTTGAATTCCTTTTTGAATTTTTCAATCCTCTTATAATCAGCTTCAAGTTATTTGGTACTGAATTGTATTGTATCATTCCATTGTGATAGATGGATTTTTTATCAATATCAAGAGGATTTTTCGGATAAAACCTATTCACTTTGGCAAAAAAAAACAAGTTTCACAGCGCACAGTTTTTTATAGGCAAGTTGGCACACTGGTGTACAGTGTCATTCATAAAGTCGGCATCATATGGGAAAAACTTGTATTATTGACTTATTTTGGAATTCGAGTTGGACGTTAAGTTTTGCTTCAAAAAAGATGAAAAATGGCCTACTCAATCGGGGTCACGTGACTTTCGCTACATGTCAAAAGTGACATTTTTTCAAATTAATCGCTGAAAGTAGGCTTTTAATTAGGTATTTGTTCGAATATCGAAAAAGTTCACTTGAAAAAGTTGTTTCTATTTCAATTTTACACATGCTTCTCGAATTTGATCTTTCTATTGCAACTTTTAGATTTTGATTTTTTTTTTATTTTTCGAAATTTCTGTAATATTTGAAGAATTGTTAATTCCACGAAACTACTTCATACCAGTAGCTTTTTCATGCTACTTACTTTCAATTACTTATTATCACTGATTATGGACATAAATATGATTTTCTTCAGAAAATGATAATTCCCGCTTCCAAATCCTGATATGTTTGATGCAAAGTTGATATATTGTCAAGAATTTAGAAACGAAATTCATTCAAACTGATCTTTTGAGTACTAAGAAAATAAATTTAAATGAATTTCGTTTCTGAATGCTTGCATCAAACATAACAGAATTTTGAAGCGGAGATTTTTGTCGATAATTAGTGATAATTAGTAATTGAAAGTTTGTAACATGATGAAGCTACTGGTATGAAGCAGTTTTATTTATCGAATTTACAATTTTTTTAATATTACAGAAATTTCGAAAATTTTAAAAAAATATCGAAATCTAAAAAATGTAATAGAAAGATAAAATCCGAGTCACATATGTAAAATTCGAATAGAAACAACTTTTTCAAGTAAACTTTTCCGATATTCGAACAAATAAACCTACTTTCAGCGATTAATTTGAAAAAATGTCACTTTTGACATGTAGCGAAAGTCACGTGACCCCGATTGAGTAGGCTATTTTTCATCTTTTTTGAAGCAAAACTTAACGTCCAACTCGAATTTCAAAATAAGTCATTAATAAAAGTTTTTCCCATATGATGCCGACTTTATGAATGACACTGTATATTGAAACATCCTGTATATGGATATAAAAGTGGCTGTCAAACTATTTTACTTTATTCGGGTGGAACGTAAGTACCTACCATTTAGGCCATTTAGTGAGGTATCGGATTTCTCCATAATAAAAAGTAACATGTATATAATTTTTATGATATATCAGATAACACAACCTGATGCGATTAAAATGGAAATTAGTCTTGCTCCGCGCTGTACCACGATTGTGGGTGGATAGCCACATCCCAAATATACAGGGGATGTTGAAAATTTCTAGTGATACATGAACACCAAATGCTACATAACAAGGCACTGGGACGAAATAGCGCAGGACAAAATAGCGCGGACAAAATAGCGCAGGACAAAATAGCGCAGGGACGAAATAGCGCAGAGACGAAATAGCGCAGAGACGAAATATCGCAGGGTCATAATAGCGCAGGGACGAAATATCGCAGGAATAAAATTGCGCGCGAAAATGGAGTGCAGGATCTATGATTAGGTTTGTTCGTTTGTTAGAGTAAAGACTCATTCTTCAAATACAAGGTGTTTCAAAATGAGTCTATACCAGGCAAACAAACTAAACTAATCATAGGTCTACTTTAACAATCCAACGGCATACCTAGTATCAAGTTACTTCGTTTGTAAGGGTAGTCTCCTTTTGAAACATCTAGTATTTGAAGAAATAGTCTATGCCCTGACAAACGAATTAACGTAATCATAGATGATGCACTACGTTTTCGCGTTCAAATTTGTCTCTGCGCTATTTCGTCTCTGCGCTATTTTGTCTCTGCGCTATTTTGTCTCTGCGCTATTATGTCCCTGCGCTATTATGACCCTGCGCTATTATGTCCCTGCGCTATTTTGTCCGCGCTATTTCGTCCTGCGCTATTTTGTCCTGCGCTATTTCGTCCCAGTGCCACATAACAGTACCAAAGATGATCTACTTAAGTATTTATATACCTACTGTTGTAAATCTATCTCTGAAGTGTGCTGTAAACATCAATATTGAGTAAATTCAAATATTTGCACAGTAATATGATTGTGTATTCATAGTTTTTATTATGCCTTTTATAATATGAGGTAAGAATAATAAGGGATTTGTGAAATAAACATAGTGAGACATAGTAACAACACAATTTCTTATTTAATTAACATATTCATAATTATATGGTATGTTATCTACTGGTGTCACGGTACAATTTTTTTTATATCTCAATCAATTAAGTATCTCGTTCACAAAGTGTATGTTCTTGAATCAGACAGACAGTTCATGAACGTGTTTTCCACAGTGGAAGGTCCATCTGGAAAAACAGGAAAATCACATATTTTCACCCTTAAATAAACATTTCATAATCTTGAGGAAATATTCAATCTTGTTGATTTTTTTTTGCCTGTGTATTTGACTCACGCTATGAACGGAATAAGAAAACTCATGTCATGAAATTTTAGTTTCCAAATTATATCTTGAAATAAAGAATCTTTGAAAATAATCATGAAGGTTTTCAGATAATCGTTGTAACCTTTCTCAACTATTTTTTTTTTTTGTAAAAAGTAATGCGAATATAATATCTTCTTTGACTTACCAAATGGATACCATGGAGCCGCTTCAGGATCAGCTTCTTTGCGAGCTGAAGCTGCAGCTCTCCTGATGGCTAAAGGCACAGATACGGCCAAACAAATAGCTGGCTCACCAACAGCTGCAAAGAAAAACAATTGATATTTTCAGTGACAATTGCCAACTATTCAATGCCAACAGTCTCGATACGATTATATTAATAAAAATAGCAAGATAAGATTGTTATAAATAATTGAAAATGAAGAAATTATACTGTCAAAAAACACCATGATGTTCAATGAAACTACCCCTGATAATATGTATCATGTACCTATGCAGAATTTCATCATATTTCCATAACATTGAAATAGTTTGAAATATGTAACACCATTTGAAGAATTTGAACCCCCCCCCCCCCCCCCCGATGGATTTTTTTCAAACGCATTTTGATGATAGGAAGCGATGATGGACGAGACAGTTAAAATGAGTCGAAATATGAAAATATACCTCAATATTCATAAATGAATATTTGGTTGGTCCATCATCTTATAGAACCACCATTACATCCTTCGGATCAACGTGGATTTTCCTATGAATTTTCAGATGTGCCAGTCCATTTATAATGAACTAACCATAGATTAATGGGGGAGTCATCAATCTATGAACTAGTCGATACCGGCAGTCACGAAAATTTTAAGTATTAAAAAAACATTGATGAATTTCTGGATTTACATAGATTCAATGCATCATGTGCATTTTTTGGTCTTTGTACATGACTTATTTTGCTGAATTTTTGGTACCACAGGCACAGTTGTGCCACTAAAATACCCCTGCTGAAATCCTGGATATCATGACTATAAAACCAGCAAGGCCTGAATTGTCCTACTTTTCTTTATGCAGATGGAAAAATTTTTGTTACATATAGTGGTAATAGCATGATTTCTTTTAGAATTGACTTATGTTTGGCTAATAGATCTTCTAAAACCATATGAAAATGAATCAACTAATAAAAACTAATTTTCGATAATAATCCATAGTACTACCCCAAAAAATATCTGAGAGAAGCTTCCATGGCACATTTATTTTCAATTAGGTTATCCAGACTGCGAGAGAATAGTGATCTGCGAGAGATAAGAACTTTGATTTAAAAATTTTTTTGGGAGGAGTGCTGTGGTATGAAAAATCTTTCGAGGCCAGTAATAACACAGTTTAATTATTTTTGGCAGTCCAGTAGCCTATTACCTTTGGAATGAAAAACTCCCACAGGATTAGCCCAGGAAACTGGATCCTAAAATCCACCGGAATGCCCCGAGCCCCCGGAGGCTTATTTACAGGTTATGTTCGTCAATATCTGCCCCTCGTCGCTCACCACGACCTCCTAGGAGGTCTGGTACATTACCCCCATAATGAAAAATTCAATAAGTCTAGTAGCTTATTACCTTGGGAATGAAAAACGCCCACAGGATTGGGATTTTTCCCAGGAAACTGGATCCTGAAATCCACCGGAATGTCCAGGGCTCCCGGAGGCTTATAATTCCAGGGTCTGTTCGTCAATATCTCCCCCTCGTCGCTCACCACAACCTCCTAGGAGGTCTGGTACATTACCCCCATAATGAAAAATTCAATAAGTCTAGTAGCCTATTACCTTTGGAATGAAAAACGCCCACAGGATTGGGATTTTTCCCAGGAAACTGGATCCTGAAATCCACCGGAATGTCCCGAGCCCCCGGATGCTTATAATTCCAGGGTCTGTTCGTCAATATCTCCCCCTCGTCGCTCACCACAACCTCCTAGGAGGTCTGGTACATTACCCCCATAATGAAAAATTCAATAAGTCTAGTAGCCTATTACCTTTGGAATGAAAAACGCCCACAGGATTGGGATTTTTCCCAGGAAACTGGATCCTGAATTCCACCGGAATGTTCCGAGCCCCCGGAGACTTATACCCAGACAGCACCAGATATTCCAGGAATATTCATTGAATATTCTTTTTGGATATTGCGAATATTCATGAACATGCCAGGGATATACATATCAACTATGGAATATTCCCTGAATGTGCTGGTGGGGAAAATTTTGTATATTCCCGGAATATTACACAAAGAATATTCCCTATATATTCAGAATGTACCTATAATATTCTAGGAATATTCAGATAATATTCGGAATATTCCTGGAATAATACAGGAATATAAATAAATGAATATTCCGGGAATATTCCGTAATACATATTCATAATTAAAAAAAGCTGACCCAAGATGGGCTCGAACTCGGGACTTTCAGACTGTCAGACCAACGCCTTAACCACTTGGCCAGTAATCGAGTTGAATAATAATGTACATAACAATTTATTGAATTGCGTTGTTCAGAAGGGAACCATAAATACTTCCAGTTCCATATGGGCTCTTAACATGTTCGATGATCTGATTGAGTACTTTGATCACTATCAAAATTGTCGAGACGACTTTTTGTTTTTGATCCCTGGTAACATAACCACTTCACTTTGAAATACGATGGACTTCTACCACAGATTTCAAAATCAATGTTTAATACTCACATCTATAAAATTGTGATTGGTTAATTTTCATACTTTACAATTTCATTGAAACACATGGGAATATTATTGAAATATTCCATGAATATACAGGAACAGAATATTCAATTGGGAATATTCCTGGAATATTCATACCTGAATATTCCCTGCACTATCCAACTGGAATATTCTAGGAATATTCACTTCAGAATATTCCTTCTGGAATATTCCCTGTATATTCATTTTGGAATATTACTAGAATATTCACATTTGAATATTCCTTGAATGTTCCAGAGGCACGTATATATTCTAAGAATATTCGAAGGATATTCGGAATATATTCTTCCCTTTTAGCATATTTAGAGAATATTCTAGGAATATCCAGTGCTGTCTGGGTAACTCCAGGTTCTGTTCGTCAATATCTCCCCCTCGTCGCTCACCACAACCTCCTAGGAGGTCTGGTACATCACCACCATGAAGAAAAATTCAATAACAGTCTAGTAGCCTATTACCTTTGGAATGAAAAACGCCCACAGGATTGGGATTTTTGCCAGGAAACTGGATCCTGAAATCCACCGGAATGTCCAGGGCTCCCGGAGGCTTATAATTCCAGGTCCTGTTCGTCAATATTTCCCCCTCGTCGCTCACCACGATCTCCTCGGAGGTCAGGTACCCCACCCCCATGATGAAGGCCCCTTCTACCTGCCCCATGTCGATCTTGGGGTTCATGCTGGTTCCCACGTCCTCGATGAGGTCCACTCGGAGGACCTGGTGCAGAGATCATCATCATCATCATCTTCATTATTCCCAAGAAACAATTGACGTATATGTTTATAACAGGGAACATTAAAAAAAACCATAATGTTACATTACATTCAAAATATAGTATTTATAGGTATAATAATTATTCTAGTAATTCTCATAGTTTGAGCAGATCTTTGTTAGAGTGAATGAATGATTAAAATAATTGATATCTTATATGATCTCAATATGGATGACATGACAAAATTCAGATGCCGTTTTTAGTACGATTGTACCGGTTGAACCGTTATAAAGTACTACCACCTGTAACCCTTTTATTTCCGAAAGTAGAAGGAAAATAAACAGAACAGACTTACAGTGGATTTTTTATTCTTCTCGAAACATAAGATGAATTTTCACTATCTAAGGAGATATACACCATTGGAAAGTCCTTCCAAAAAGCTTTTCAAAATTACCGCACTCAATATATTCATCTTTTTTGTTTATCAATTCATGAGCATTAAAACCTAACAGAATTCAATCGATTTTCTAACAATTTTCCAGAAAACATTCATGACAATGATTGCAGATTCAGGTATATTAGCTATGTAGTGATATATGCTATATGTTATCCATTTCTCATTGAGAGTGATCGCTGGAAATCAATATTGTAACCATTTCGAAAATGATTCAAAATCGATCCAACTATGTTAATTTTGAAAGCTCATATATTGAGAAATACAAATAATAAATATATAGAGTACGGTGATTTTCGAATGCTCTTTCCAATGGTGAGGAAATACATCAGGCAGAATGGAAATACAGGTTCAACTTCAAGAAAAGTCTCATAGTCTTAATAACAGAGATACAGGGTGAATTATCGAATTATAATCATTTGGTATTATTTCCATTCCGCCTGATAGGTTAATGAATCCATCGTCCCAAGTAAGGTACATACCAAATTTGAGAAAATGTTACTGGGTAGTTTTATACTTATGGAGAGTGAATAATTATTCAAAACCGATAATTCACCCTGTATCTCCGTTATAAAAACTGTGAGACTCAGTAAAATCTTTCGAGCGATTTTTTTGACAAAAATATATCGAATATATAATCATAATTGACACTGGTCAGGTTAGGTTAGGTTCAATACTCTTCAAATTGACATACTTTCAGCTTTCTGTTTATGATTGTTACGATGAGAATTGGTGGCGAGAATACAAAAAGCATCAAATCCAGTTCAGTTTTACCTCCTCTTCACGATTCCTTCGATGAACTCTGTCAATTATTACATACAGTGTGTTATTTTAATATTTCGAATAAATGTAAATTTTTCCTGAAGCCGAACCTGGATTTTCACTTCGCATGATAGGTGAATGAATCCAACGTCCCAAATATAAGCTGCATACCAAATTTTAGAAAAATATACTGGGTAGGTCAATACCCATACAGCACATGACATCCATTGGACGTCCATTTTAGGTTCATTTCAATTCCAAACGTCCATGGATTATCATTGGATGCTTCAAATTGTATGTACAGTGGGCGTCCACTCAATGTCCAACCACGCATGTACGTAGAATGTACATTCATTGTACTTATAAAGATGGATGTACAATGTATGTTTCAAAATGACCGTCCGTAGGACATCCATTTTATGTCAACTCAAGGACTAAAACTCTCGTGGACGTTTGATCAACATCCATTGTACGTACAGAGACGGACGTACATTGGATGATTCAAATTAAACTCACATTGGATGTCCATTTAACGGCCATTCTGAGTTCAAGCGTTAATGGATGAAGAATGAACATTATTTTTATATCTATAAATAATTGTTCAAAGTCAATGTCTGTATGATATCATTTTGAATCTGGAGGTTTATGGACATTAAATGAACGTACATTGTACGTTCAGAGATGGACGTAGGACTATTGATTTCTCAGCCACCTCGAAGGGGAGGCAGAAGGTCAGATCGGTCGGTAGAGTAGCGGTAGCGTCTGGCGTGATTCTGATGCCATTTTCAGTTGGTAAATGACCGTGAACATAAAGTGTTGTGTTTGTGATGAATTTTGGAATGCAGATTATTCAGGACCAGATCATTCAAAGTAGGTATGAAAGCATGCATGTTCGAATGTGACTTCATATATTATCTAATATAGTTATAATCTTATGCTTTATCATCCTACAGGTTGTTATTCATTTTTAATGGGCGGTTTGACAGAAAAAGTACCTGAGTATATAGCAATAATGTGAATAAGGCTTCATTCACCAGTCAGAGTTAAGCTGAACAGGATTTGGGGTATAGACAATCGATTTCTACCTATATAGCAACATATAATATTTCTCTTTTACTATACAGGAACAAGAATTTGAAATGGACTGAAGAAGACATGAATCAACAATATATTTATATATATGCTATCGACACCAAATATACATCTCAATAGAAGAAGCTATATTTGATACCTACTGATTTTTCATCATTTGATTCCCAAAGATGAGCATCCATTATACACCCACATGTAAACATCCAATGTACGTCCGAAGTGGTGTCCTCAAGACATCCAATGGACTTTCATTGGACGTTTAACGTCCAATTTGGTACGTTCAATGGATGCTCAGACATGTACATCCATTGTGAGTCCAAATATGAACATCCACTGTACATCCACATGAAGACATCCACAGTACGTCCAAAGTGGTGTCATCAGGACATCCTGTGGACGTCCATAGGCTGTTAAAAGTCCACTCGAGAACTTCCATTGGACGTCCTTACGATCCGACGTGGACGTACATTGTACTTACATTGGACATACATGTGCTGTGTGGGTACATATAGACAAATGAGTAATTATTCGAAATCGATAAATCGCCCTGTATCTCCGTTATGAAGACTCTAAGACCTATCAAATATGGTATTTTCAGAACCACCTTGGTGACCCCTATCTACCATTGAAATATTTCCCTTTACCTGGTTTTTAAAATATTCCCTGCATGAATCTCTGAAAGTAGAAATTGAAATTCTGAAAAGGCAACACTGACCTGGTGTCGTCCGGTGAGAACGTCGAGCTCTATTTCGCTGGCGCAGGCGCCGTAGGCTACGTAGTCGCCGAGCCTAGGGTCTTTCGGTGAGTTCCTGGAAATGGACGGTGATCCGTGCAAGAATGACAGTGTGTTCTAGTTTGAAGCTAGATGTTCTTCTCAATTCTTTATAGTTTTTTTATTGAAGAATATGTGTGAACAGGGCTAGTTTCATCAATGTGTACCCCCATTTATCTTTTTTATTTTCCACTAATTCAACCAAATTTAAAGCTGATATTATACAATTTCTCCTACAGATTTCACTCATATTGACATTAGATTTGAATTCCTCAATTCATCCTTATTTCAAATAAATGATATCAAGGATTTATATCTATCAAAATATACAGCGCATTCCATATAAAAACCCTAACAACACAGGGATGTCCTAGGTACGTCCCTTTTTTGTCCCGCGGTACAAGGACATGATTGGGACATCCAGGGGATGTCCTGCAGTGGTTGTCCAGTGGACATCTCGCCCGGTACATCCCTAGGTTATCCTATTCGTGTCCCTGGAGTATCTGATATCCATTCACATCAGAGTCATTGAATTTCATCAAACTATTGAGTTGAATTTTTTTGAAAATGTTTGTTTCTCTTCCGGAAAATGATTGTAATGAAAAAAAAGAATAAAGTCTCAGAACTTCTTAAGAAATTACCATTTTTCGCATAAAGAAATCGTACATGCATAATTCCCCTCATTTTTAAACACCCAAGAATGATAATAATTAGACCCAATTCCTGATAAAGTTGTATTTATTCAGGTTTCTGTAGTTAAGTCCTGTTTATAAATCTGTTTAGTACATAAATCTTCAGGAGGCATGATAGTCAATGGAGCAAGGTGCGTGCATGATAAGCCAAAGGTCGCGGGTTCAATCCCTACTCGACCTGCAACTTTTTTTCTTATGTCGAAAGGATGTCCCTGGGATATCCTAGGGACGTCCTAGGGATATCCTTTCATCGTACTTGGTACATCCCAGGGACGTACCAGAAGGACATCCCTTGGATGCGGCCAGCGGATGTCCCTGGGACATCCCTAGTATGTACATTGTACCGTCAAAGGACATCCCTGGGATGTCCTAGTATAAAATTAGGGACGTCCATGGGAAGTCCCTAGGATGTACTGGTGTTGTTAGGGAATGTATTTAGGGTGTTTCGTAATATGTGAGACGCACTACGAGAGCGTCTCAAGACAGTAAAAAAAGTATCCATGAACAAAAGTCGTAGAAGGCTTCGTCTATTTTCTAGATAACCGCTTAACAAACATTTTTGATATTCTGGTGTTATCACTCAGTACCTGAGAGTGATTGATTCGGTAGCATTATTTAGTCATATTTAGTCAATCTGACTCCCAGTGGCACCGTTATAAGGGGTACTGATGTGGGATTTTTCATAAAAAAACATGGGTGGCGGTGAAACGTTTCGAAATATTCGAAAATATGAGAGGATGCAATTTTGTAAAAAAAAGCACCAAGTGTTGAAACTGTTTTCAAGAAAAACCTAATAACCATATTCAACTCCAAAATTTCAGTAGTTTGATGTAGATGTCGGATAGTCCATTCAATGCATCTATTCAGATTACTCTATAACCATGATGGATATTATTCTGTAATTTTGGCACTATGCCAGTCACATAACAGACTACATTTTGAGACCACGATAAGAGCCATACAGAGTGGACATGAAAAAATTCTATAAATATTTGCAATTTTAACGCCCTGTATCTCGCAAACCAGGCCATTCACGACTTTTCGCTGATTTTATTCACTTGCCATTTGATATTTGTAGCATCCTCACAATATGAAATGCCTAAGCCTTGAAAATATTAAAATATGGTCAAGTTAGGTACCTACTTTTTCTGGAGAAAGTATGAGACATATTCCATTGTACAGTGTGTCCCACTTACCATGCTCACCATGGGTATCTTTTTAACGGTGAGAGATACAAGGTCGGTTAAATGACACCAAATGTGGAGTTTGTCAAGGCCAACTATAATGTGAAAAAATATTTTGATAAAATCTATCCGTTTTTGTTTTATACGCAAAAAATAGATTTAGATCATTTTCATGTCTCCTCCGTAACTTCTTTATTTATGAAAATATTCAAATAGGAATTTCACATTCTCATGGCAGTTTTTCAAAGTGAAATATGAAATTTATACCAACTCTTCTAGAATTTGAGATATCAGCACCAACTTTAGTTTTTCAAATGTAGATCATAGCTCACTATGACTTAGTTACAAATAACTTTTTTTTTGTGTTGATAACTCCGGAGTTATCGTCATTTATACGAAAACAAAAAATTATCTGGAAGCCGCCATCTTGAATTTATAAATTTTAACAAAAGTATCATGATCTCCGACCTCAAAAAGCCCCACTCACCAATTTTGAATGAAATCGGACCAAATCTTGTCCGCCATCTTGAAGCAGCCATTTTTTTTAATTTCAACAAAAATTCCATTATGTATTGTCACCGAAATTATGAACACCTGCCAAATTTCAAGTTAATCGGAGCTATGGAATTTTTGTTGAAATTAAAAAAAATGGCTGCTCCAAGATGGCGGATCAGATTTGGTCCGATTCCATTCAAAATTGGTGAGTGGGGGTTTTTGAGGTCGGAGATCATAATTTTCTTGTTAAAATTCATGAATTCAAGATGGCGGCTTCCGAATAATTTTTTGTTTTTGTATAAATGACGATAACTCCGTTGTTATCAACACAAAACTATTACTGCGACATATCATCTGTAAGAGAAAAAAAAGCTATTTGTAACTAAGTCATAGTGAGCTATGACCTACATTTGAAAAACTAAAGTTGGTGCTGATATCTCAAATTCTAGAAGAGTTGGTATAAATTTCATATTTCACTTTGAAAAACTGCCACGAGAATGTGAAGTTCCTATTTGAATATTTTCATAAATAAAGAAGTTACCGAGGAGACATGAAAATGATCAAAATCTGTTTTTTGCGTATAAAACAAAAACGAATAAATTTTATCAAAATATTTTTTCACATTATAGTTGGCCTTGACAAACTCCACATTTGGTGTCATTTAACCGACCTCGTATCTCTCACCGTTAAAAAGATACCCATGGTGAGCATCGTAAGTGGGACACACTGTATAAGTTATTCGACAAGACCTATAGGTCCATTGAATTCGTGAAATAATGATGTTCACATGGTGAATACAGTGAATTATCTTTTATGCCGACTATGTTACTAACTCCACACGCCACCATAGGAGTAGTACTGTTTATTTTAAGGCAACAGAGAATATACCGCTGAATTTTCAAATAATTGAACTTCTTACGTTGATGTTGCAGTTAGGGGAATCATGTTATCATAGCAACCTTTGATCAGCTCTTCCCAATTCGGATCACCCATTTTTTCTCTAATAGGTCGAATTCTTTCCAGTAAAGTATCACAAGCATTCATTATAGCCTGAAACAAAAACAAAAAATGACAGAAATATGAGGAAAAATGTAAAAACTTCACAAACGATAAGATTTCCACAAAATTCTCAAACACACGACATGTTTCGCTAACACAGTAGCTTCGTCAGGTGATATACTGGTACAATGATCTAAACTAACGTTGGCTTGCTTAACTTTTATATATCTTTCCCAATCTGAAGGATTACCTGTGGACAGGTACGATAAACCTCCATTTTTGGAAATTAGGCACAATATCTACATTAAATTACGGTATACCGGATTAACTTGAAAGAGTTGATAGCAAATACATATTATTACTTACTAAGAAAACAAATTCAACAGTGGTGAACTATTGAGGTCTAATTGATCATTAAGTAAATGTCAAAATTTTTGAGTTTGTTGATTTCTAATGATTCAAAATGATTGAGTTTCAGTCCTTTATTTTCTACGTGCAGAATTTCGAAATTATCATCAAAACTATGGTTTTCTTTTAATATATGGTTGGGGTATGTTGAATTTGTTTTCTTTTTCATAAAATTCATCTTATGTTCATGAATGCGCTGATTAAACGTACGACCTGTCTGACCGATATATACCTTAGGACAAGATCCACATTTGAGTTTTTATACCTCTGATTTTTCGAATTTAGAAGTTCTGTCTTTATTATTCTTGATAAACCGTCCCAACGTGTTATTTGTTCTATATGCCACTTTTAAGTCTTGTTTATGTAGAAATGAAGCTAATTTCTCGGTTGATGATCCGAAATAGGTTAAAGTTCTATAATTTTGATTATTATTCTCGATGGTAGGATAAACTTCTTGAATAGCTTTATTTTGAAGTTTTTTAGAAAGAATACTGTCTATCAAATTAACGTCGTATCCGTTGTTGACTGCAATCTGTTTTATGATATTGAGTTCTTTATTGAAATTTACTTCCGAAAGAGGGACATTCACTAGCCTGTGTATCATACACATATTATATGCTGCAATTTTATGTTGATAAGGGTGTGTTGAATTATTATGAATAGTGATATCAGTGTGGGAAGGTTTATGGAAAATTGAAAAATCATGTGCATCGTTAATTTTACTTATTGTCAAATCTAAGAAATTGATTGAATTTTCAGTCTCTTATTGTGAATTCAATGTTTGGATGAATAGTATTTATATATTGATGGAAAGTGTCTAATTGTCTATTGGTTCCTTTAAAGCATACTATAACGTCATCTACGTATCTATACCAATACAAACATTGTTTTATTAATGAATGTTTATGTATTATTCGCTCCAAGTTGTCCATGAAGATTTCAGCAGATCTATGCAGCAAGTAAAGGGCTCAGTGGATTTCCCATAATCAACCCTTTTGACGCGGAATATATTTGGTTGTCAAATGTATATGTATACAATCCTTCAGGTTGGGAAAGTAAGATATATAAAAGTTAAGCAAGCCAACGTTAGTTTAGTTCATTGTACCAGTATATATCAGTCAATTCAAAATATGAGGAAAGTCGCACAAACGAAGATGTTTTACCCAACAAACTGATTCACTGGTCAGACTACCTCCTGTCATATGGGAGTTGGCAGCTATCAAATTATTACTCTGCTTGATCGACACTTTCTCCATTGGTATTCCCAGTTTATAAGCACAAACTTGCACAGCCTTAAAACAAAAAACACAAATTGAGCAGAAAATCGAAGCATTGCAATGAAAAAATAAATACTTTGGTATTTATGCCCTGTCCAATTTCTATCCCAGCATGCGAAATGGCAACGCTGCCGTCAGAATGGTAAATAGAGACTATGACGTTGAAGCCAAGGAATAGTGAAAATGGATAGGCCATTGGTACAACGGAAAGTCCTTTTTTCCTCCAACGATTCTCCTAAAGAACAAAAAAAATATAGGATGCCTCAAGGTTCGCATTTCGGCGTCCTTGAAAATATTCAAGACATGTAGGTACAGGTCTTCACGTATATTTTGAACTTCCGTCAACTCATTTGTTGAAAGAGCTATAAAAAATGTTGTTTCATCATCCTCTCCAATCTATATACTAACTAATCCGAAATTTTCGTTATCTTCTGAAAAGTGAGGTATGTAATATTATATTTCAAGAGACTTCAAGGGTAGCAACTCATTTGTTGCCATTTTTGCACTTTCCAGGATTTCTGCTGGTGTAGAAATAATCTCATCGTCATGGCTTGACATTTTTCAACTCAAATTGAGAAATATCAAGAGAAAATAATCATTTTCAAAAGATTATATCCAGCAATAATCAATGAAAACAATCAATCAATATAATACCAGAAACAAAATCAACAATGTATGACTTGAAAAATATGACCTCAGAACTATGGACGAACATTCTAGTTTTATTGAATCTAGAATTTATAATAAAATCAATAGGAATGAAATATCTGAATATCATAACTTATCAAAATAGTTTGAATCTGTTTTTCAGAAAATGCAAAAAAATCATGATCTTTTTCAATCAACTGTTTTCTTGTTTTAATTTTGTTTTAATGTATATCCATATTATTTGTACTTATATGATTAGTATTATTTGCACATTGTCAAAAGTCTTCTTTGATAAAATATGTTTATTTTGCTCTATTAAAGGAATTAATGAATCAGTAAATAAATAGGTCAAATAATTTCGAAATGAAAATAATTTGTCCAAATGGAACGCCCTATATTATAAGTTGCATTTTCAAAAGATCTTTTCTTTCCGAATTCGAAGAGTTTGACATATCGGACATAAATATGCTGATGAACTATGACATTTTTCTCTTTATTTCCATAAGAGGTAAACGTCAACAGTTATGAATATGAAATAATATTGTCAAAGACCATAATCCAAGCAAAAAAGCTTCAAAATATTGATTATTTAGTGGTTTCAAGCTTCAATAAATCAAAAATTGAAACTGCTAGACCTCTAAACTAATATATATGTGGATTCAGACAACAAGATCTCAAAGAAAATGAAAAATTATATAGATTATTTCAAGTAGAAAATATGGATGAAACCCTAAAACTTTTTTCATAGCCCTTTTGACAAAATAGTTGAAAGTGTGTCACTTCTAATGGAGACACCCCTGTATCTTATGTATTTGTTGAGTTAGGATTTTTGGAGGAGGAGCAAGATATACCAGAAATACACTATATGATTAAGTGGGGTTATCTTCAGTGATCAATCAATCAATCAATCAATCAATCAATCAATCAATCAATCAATCAATCAATCAATCAATCAATCAATCAATCAATCAATCAATCAATCAATCAATCAATCAATCAATCAATCAATCAATCAATCAATCAATCAATCAATCAATCAATCAATCAATCAATCAACCAATCAATCACTCAATCAATTTTGTATATCTCTTCATGGAAACACCACCATAGCTTACATAATTATTGACATTGGATTCTGAAATTTGCAGGAGAAATAAAGAGTCCAAAGATACAGTCAACGACGTAAGATACAGGGGTGCTTCCATGGAAAGGAAAGTGAGACAAAATTTAATTTTTCAGAACTGAAAAATTCACAGAAAAATATGAATAGTTGGTGAATTGGACATCCTGATTTCGAATCCGAAGTAATTTTCAACCTATCTTGCCTCCTAATATCATTTCTCGGGAATGTGGGTGCTTCCATGGCTGTTCTCGAGATCACTGAAGATGATCCCACTAGGTCATAGTGAGTATTTTTGGTATATCTTCCGCTCCTGCAAATATCAGAATCCTAATTCAACAATGGGCGTGTACACCTTAGTAGAACTTTTAACTCAAACCATGTTTACAATGATCCTTTTATACATAAATGATAGTACCTTCTGAAAACGGACCCTCTTATGACGTATAAACCTCATCTCGCCATAGTTAAAAGAAAATACCAAACGCCCGACGGAGACTGAGGCAACTGATATATTAATTCTTTCAACTGTGATCTCGCGCTAATTCACTCTGGCAGAAATCATGTATCATTCATCTCTGTCTGGAATAGTCTTGTTTCAGTATTAGGGTTTTGACGTCACATCACCGCCCCGTTTTCAGAGGCCCGAAAAATCGGGGATTTCAATAATTTTTCATAAAACGTAGGGAGCTCACAGCAAGAAACGGTTTGCGGTGGTGAGCTAGTTTGGGTGAGTTCTATCGAATTATGAAATAATTTTTTTTTGTGATATAAGCCCATTACGTAAGATACAAAAGTGCTTCCTTTAGAAGTGAGACAGGCTGTATAGGTGAAGATCCTGTATTTAAAGGTTCAAGCTCAAAGTTGGGAATTACCTTGTTGTAGTTTTCAATTTCAACTCTCCGATTATCGATATTGGCCCATTCTCTTAGTCGAATCAAATACGCCAATGTTTTGCTATCTTTTGGCAAATTTCGGATTCTGAATTCCAATGGGTCCATATCTATAGCAACAGCTGCATGCTCCATGATTGCTTCTAGCATTGTGAAGCCTTCAAGGGAACCTACCAAAACGATCAAAATAAGTAGATAACGGCAGACTTTTGAGAGTATAATAGTAGAGATTCTCGATGGAATCAATGTTTCCGTATATTTATAGAACGGACATTATACAGATCATATTTTTTCGGAAATAATTAAGGGCATGTGACATGAGTATAAATATCTACTCCAGATTTTTTTAGCTCAACCGATATTCCACGCTCTCCATTTCTGTCATATTGATCTATTTGGTGGAAGTTTTAATACGCACTCAAAGTAAATCGTTTGCCAGCATTTTTACAGTTTGAAACTGCACAAACTTCCATCTTATTATTTTTCAGCAGATGGTAATGGTGAGGTTGGAGATCATATCAACTGTCAATATTTGTTAATTTATTCACAGTAATGAAATTTGTCTCGAAAACTTAACCCATTAAATTTTAGCACCGTGCGTTGCCATGTGGCAACGCTAGTCAGGTGAAGATTCAAATAGTTCCCAAGTATTCAAAGTTTTAGCCATGAAGGTGAGAAACAGCCCTCCTGATTCACAAAAGAACCGGTAATGCACAAGTCGCCAGTTCTTTGTTGTGAGTTAGCTAGTTTGGCCACGTTAATTCGTAAAACTTTGAGTTAATTTTCACTTACGTAAAACATGAACGTTACGTTACACTACGTACCATCCTTTGTTTCACACAATTGAATTCGCGATTTTTTATCATAATAATGTTGCACATGCTTCAAGTTATGTATCTTATGACATATTCAAGAAAATTACAGGAATGTATTTAATCGTGTTGCCATCTGGCAACGCTAGGCGCTTATACTCGAATGTGGTGACTTTCCGGCCGACCCAATGGATGTTGAAGCAGTGGCTGGACGATCTTCTCTTCAGAATTTTTCTAATACGCCCATTCCAATATGTGATGGGTCAAATAATTAGTTCACTGAACGGGACACGACGAAGTTATTCAGCACTTGCTCTAAGAAACCAGATGGTATGAATTGTTCTTGAAGGTAATGACTAGTACTACTTGTATATGGGCGGAACTGATCAGATGGATCAACATATCAGTTATTACCGCATAGGAATTCGTACTGGCTCCTAATCTGCTGTAATGTTGGTATATGTGTAAATATCCCGAAAAAAGTATCACACGCGCCTAGTGTTGCCATATGGCAACAGCAGATTTTTGGTAAACCTGAATTCCATTTATGATTCTATATACTCTTTTCCTCTCCCGAATGCATTTCACACTAGCTGAAGGCCATAAAATATCAGAGAAAAAGTTCGGCGCTAATGAGCTAATCAAAAATCATTTTTAAGGCGTCTCAACGTTGTATATTGTCTCTTTGTGTTACTGCAGCTCGAGATGTAAATGAGTCCAATTTAGATTCACCTATCCATGTAAAATACGTGACCTTAATGGAAATCACTGTTGAATTTAGCAACACCGCTGTTAGATTCATGTACTGTCAGTTTCCACTCTATCCATCTATTTGATCGTGGTTATGTCTATGGCTGTCATTCACAAAAACGTCAAATCCATCAAGAAACTCAACTGAATAGTACCTGGAGCTCTAGTATATACGCTAGAGTGCATATCAGAACAAGTGAAGCTAGAATTAGCGCTCCAAGTGTCCGAATTGTAAGTCTTGTGATACACTTCGAACAGCAAAAACATCACGTCTTCATTGCCGCCTTGCCCATGGTCAACGTAAATGTCGTTCTTCAAGTATTGGATGACACCATTTTCGTCAGTAGCCACTTCGTAGTCGCTAGATGTGGGGCTCCTCTTGCCTACCACCCTCATGTTTGCCTCCAAAGGCAGCCATATTTTGACCGGCTTCCCTAGCTTGAATGCCGCTAGGGCACAAGCTGAAGATATCATCGATTGCCGGACTATCTTTGCCCCAAAAGCACCACCAACGCGTTTCACAGCAACATTTACCCTGAAAGAATGAAAAATGAAAGCTTTGTCCTGTAGCATTTATAGAAGTTCCCTTTGTGAATCATTTGTCAGATAGTCTGGTGCAACTGATGAGGCATGACATGCCGAAACAGTCTGTCTTGCAGCACTGACAATCGATTCACGAGATTTCCCTTATCATGTGTAAATCTAAAGAATTAATGGAAATCTCTATGTTTTAAATCTAAAATATTAGAAGCTTCTTAGATCCCAAAAGGCAAAAAATGACACGATCATGTTCTAACCCTTTCGAGCCTATCGGTACACATATGTACAGTAAGAATCACGCAAAAACTACAAGCAAATATTCATATTATGTGGTTCATCTATGTATCAGTACATCTCCTACATCTCTATGTATCTTTGATGCGCGTAGTTTCATTTGAGGTTATGTGGTATTTATTTATTTGTGCCAGGCCACGTTCTATGCTCTGTTTTTAGTTGATTTTGACGAAAAAAAGTGACATAAATTGAGCATATTGTGTGCGCGGACTCAGTTGAAGGTAAATTGCCAAACACTGGTGGAAATAACAAAAAAACAGCTGTTTTCTACTGTGGTACACATATGTACCAGCCGTCTGTAACTGCACTAGATGTTGGTACATGTATGTACCGATACTGTTCTGTATTGATTTTTGTTTTTTTGCTTCAGATGATGTCCAGAAAAAAAGTATGGATCAGTTGTACCACATCGCTGACTATTTGTCAGAAGTTTCAAGTTTATCTGACTTTTCCTCGGGCAGTAGAGATTTATGGGAGCTGACATTTGCAAATAATTCGTACACTTCTAATAAATAAGTAGTAATTGAAATTTCGATGAAGAGGTTTTATTTGATCGCCACTGACATTAAACCAATATAAAAGTAACACATAACCCTTAAAACAAAAACTCATCTCGAAAGGGCTAAAGGATTCAAAAGGCAATAAATAATAAGTATATGTACCTATTGCAACTTGATATACTCAAGTAATAATTTTTTTTCCATAATTTCCTTTTTCGCTGAAGCTGAGCTGAATTTAGGAGATGAATATAATAAAGTAGTATGAATTACAGTTTAAATTTTGGAGATGACTTTGTGATTTCCTCCCAGTGATTCATAATTTCGAAGAAATACTTCAAATACGATTTTGATTGATTCAAGTAACCAAATCAGCATCAGAATAAACAAGTAGAAAAAGAAGGAGTCATCAAAATATCGAATACGAACTTTGTTTCTAGTGTTCAATAGTTTTTTTTTATATTAAGTATGCTTCATTTTTGGCATGCTATTTCATGGTCAAATTGATGAGCATATTGTCAGTCAAACAAAAGTACCTTTTTTATGGAAAAATTCTCAAAATCTTCAATTTTTGTGGTGATATTGCAAAACCAACTGAAAAAATAATGATTATATAATCTCCCGTTTCTGAAATAATGAGGGAGGCTGTAGCTCTTAGGAGCCACATTTCGACCCAAAAGGATTGTTCAATTTTTTTTTTCATCTTGGAATATATTGCCAAATCAATGAAGGCTAATTATGGTCCACATTGTATACATATGGCCAAAATTTCACTCACCTACTAGCTGGTATGTCCAAAACTGCTGCTGCAGCATTTTGGCAAAGGTCCATCCATTGGGTAGTAGGATAAAGGTCCAAGTTGCCCTCCTTGTAGTTAGCACTACAGAAATGTGGCTCCATGTGGTAGTGATACTGCCAGGTGACGTCAAATGATCCCTCAACTATGTGTCTGATCTTATCACCTTGAATCAGACCATTTAGAAAAATCGAGCTTTCAGATAATAAGACTCAAATTACCCGAAGTTTTTGGCTTGATAATCATATCAGGAATTATTTTATCAGTTAGCTTTCTCCTTAGTATCTCTCTTGTATTGAAAACCGGTTTTGTATCGCCAGCTTTGTAGCTGATCTTGACTAAACCAGCAGCTGTTTCAGCAAGCTCCCGCGACCTAGCAACCACTATGCCTACTGGCTGTGAATGATATTTGACAACGCCATTGCAGAATAACTCCTCTTCAAGAGTATTTGCAGCAGGGACTCCAGCTTCAGTAGGAGTGAAGGTATTCCTACCAGGTATATCATTTTTATCTAAGAATGTTACAACTCCTTCCATTTCCTGAAAAAAACAGTAGATGTATGATATAACATACATGTAAATTTTTGTTTCGACACCTACCAAGGCTGGCTGAGTATCAATTTTTAGGATACTTGAACCTGGAGAAGCCTTGGCCAGAACGAAAGCTGCATATAGCTGCTCTGGCGAGTCTGGCAGATCGGTAAGATATTTAGCTTCGCCTGTTGCTTGAAAAACTGATTCGACTTTAGAAACCGGTTTTGATACAGGATAAGTCGAGACATTGGTGTCGAAAATTTGAGCTCCTTTAGATAGGGGCCTCGAAAAATCACTTTTAGCACTCAAGTTTCTCTTTGAAATCAATTCCACAGGAGCTATCCTCAAAACATACTGGAATACAATAATTCATGTTACCACTATTGAAATGAGGTTTCTATAAGTAATACCTTATAAAATAAAGAAATGGCAAGTTTTTTTCTGAATTCGGGTTTAGGATCTGGAGATACATGATCAGGCTTCAATTCATTTCCCAATATTCTGAAAGCATCTTGCAGAGTTTCATTTTTAAATAACTTCTTTCCGATCAAAAAGGTCTCCAGATTTTGGGGGTGAACAAAATCTGGATTGATGCAACCAAATACAATGTTAGCTTCTTCTACTGTATGTTCACGTGAGAGCCTAACCAGAAAGCCTGCATTCACCAAGGCATGAGCGTTTTGGGCCCTAGGCATTATCTGAAGAAAATTAGAAATTCATCAACAAGATATAGCAAGAAATTGACCCTACCTTGAAGCTTTCATAATAATAACAATCATCGAATGCTGTGAAAGTTATGCTTCTGATTATCTTGAAGTTCATTGACATTTTCAGAAACTCAGATGGTAATACAGATACTTCACCATAATCTGCATCAACTGAAAATTAATGATCTCTTGTTGTCAATAATTTGAATGTACTTGCTAGAAAAAAACCTACCTATCAGTAATTTTGCTTTAGCTGTTTCCAAAATCAAAAATATGTCAGACGGAAATTCCTTGTGCTTGTGTTTTATCATGAGATTCCCAGCTAGTGTACCAATCTAGAAAACAAAGATACTATGAAAAATGGCATCAAAAATAAACTCTGATCATACATTTCGAACTGGTACATTTGCTATCAGATCGATATGGTTAGCCAATTTCTTCAAATAACCAAATCTGGAATCACAGGAGGCTACTTCATTGAATAAGTTCATTGCAGATGTCAAAGTCGTATTGGCTCCAAGAATCAACTCATTTTCTTGTAATGTATATTCGACCAATTCGCCTATTCTCTGGATATCCACGTAAACTGTAGGTTGAGGTTCACCTGGATAAACTCCTGAAACACCAAAACATCATAATATCTCGAAATTTTCTTATGTAGGAACCACTACCTTTAGAAGTATTGCCACCCACTAACATATAAGGCACCCCATTTTTTTGATAGGATTTCAAAATTCTGATCAAATCAGAGTACTTTGACACCCTTATCCAGGAAGTTCCTGACGAGTTGTGGACGAAAGTTTCTGGGTTATCGGTTCCATTATTCAAAGCACAGCACCTGGGCATTTCCTCAATATCTGCAAACTTTCCATTCGAGTTGTGGTCTTTGCATACAGATTTGAAGGCATCCAAAATTGGTCTGGAACATAGTTATTTGTTTCAGTAGGCAGAAAAGCACAAGATTTAATGCCGCAGCTGGCGTTTCATAGCCGAGGCTAGGAAACCAGCCAAGTTAGAAGATTATCTGACCAATAAGGAAACAGCATAAAAACTGACGTCACCATTTATTCGACGTATCGCAAAATGGCGGCCATGAAGCATCGTTTGAAATGAGCTCTGGAATTCAACAGTTTCGAACAACGCATAGAATTATTATTTACATAAAAAAATCGTGAGAAGCGTTGCAAAAATTAATTTAGGTTCCTAACGATACAGTGGACTAATTGAATGCCAATAATAATTCATTATGAGTCTACTCACCCATTCGGGCATTTTATGTTGAAATTCTTTCCGATCCATCGAATTTCTTGTTCAATTTTGAAGAAAAAAAACTCCAACTATGGGAAATCAACCAACCGTATTTGAAATATTTGAACAAGAATATCAATTGCATGCCGAAAAATAAACATTTTTGGAATGTTCTACTACTGAAAATGATGAAAAATATCAATTTTGGCTCAAATATCTGGAAAACTATATCAACTCTAGCTCAGTTGAAGGTATAGCAGTTTTTTTTAGCAAAATTGAAAGGGAATTAGATAAATTGAGACCAATCACAATAATTTCTGTAGGTATCGGCGAAAGTGAGATTTTTGGAGAGGACAATTATGTAACAAAACCGATTTTGACGAATTCAACAATGTTTGAGATATTCCCAAAAGCGATTTTCGTACCCTGTAGAGGTGAGTGTTTTTTTTACCTGTAACCAGTACATCTACAGATATTCCCTCCAAATGACTTCTCAACTTGTTCCTTGGATATGTTTTGGTCTGCCTGGAGCAAGGAGTACATATTCATAATCATTCCAGGTGTACAATAACCACATTGGGATCCATTGTAGTCGGTTATGGCGTCTTGAAGCTTGTGCGGTTTTCCAGAGTTGCCAATCCCCTCGATGGTCTCGATTTCCCAGCCATAGCAGGAAAAAATCGATACCAAACACTAAAAAATTATATCAAAAATAATAAAGACAACTTTTCTGAATTCGAAAAATCAGGGGTATACAAACTCAAGTGTGGATCTTGTTCTAAGGTATATACCGGTCAGACAGGTCGTACGTTTAATCAGCGCATTCATGAACATAAGATGAATTTTTTGAATTAAAGAAAACAAATTCAACATACGCCAACCATATGTTAGAAGAAAACTATAGTTTTGATGATAATTTCGACATTCTACACGTAGAAAATAAAGGAATAAAACCCAATCATTTTGAATCAGTAGAAATCAACAAACTCAAAAATTCTTACATTTTACTTAATGATCAATTAGACCTCAATAATTCACCACTGTTGAATTTGTTCTCTTAGTAGGTATAATATGTATTTGCTATATCAACCCTTTCATAAGTTAATCCGGTACACAATTTTTTAATGTAAATATTGTGCCTAATTTCCGAAAATGAAGGTTGATCGAACCTGTCCACAGGTAACTAATCCTTCAGGTTGGGAAAGTAGGATATATAAAAGTTGAGCAAGCCAACAAGGTTAGTTGAGTTCATTCTACCAGTATATGACCTGACGAAGCTACCGTGTTAGCGAAACATGTCTTGTGTTTGAGAATTTTGTTTTGTTTGTGAAGTTTTAACACTAAAAAGTTATTCATAAGCAGAAAGAATCCTCTAACTCAGAGAGATATACATACAAGCAACAGCAGTCCTAGAATTAATGTTGCTACCTTATTGAAGTAAGTGGTAGTCTGGGTATATTTTATTACGTCCTTGCGTGCTGATTTTGGGACTAGATAGATTGGAACTAAAAACTGAACGAATAATCGTGAATAATTTGTAAAAAAATAATTTTTTCAACACCTTGTATCATGAAAACGGATGCCGTTACGACATTTTTTCACTGAGCAAACCCAACTTATTTTGCAATGTTCTACCTACCCTAGCAAGTGAGTTAGGTTTTTTGAAACACCCTGTATATTGACGGCACAATGCATAAATAATAAGTCCTCTCAAAAGTGCACCGCTTAGACGAAACCAGGGAGATAACGAGAGTGAAAAAAAATCAATTCACGACTCAAGATATAGCAGTGATATCTCGGAGATTTTATCATGTAACTTACATCTTATTTAGGAAATATTGATTCCTGTTATAGCTACTAATATGGAGATATACTCACTGAGTTTACTCCTAAGGTTTCGTATTTTGTTGTAAGTGGGTTTAGTCTTGTTATCGTTACTACGCAGGTACCACAACCACCTTCAAGGCACATCCGTTTTGTTCCAGTCAAATTTAAATGTTCTCTCAAGTAGGTGTTGAGAGTAGTTGTTGGTGAAAGATTTTCTGTGGAAACTGGAAATATGGAAAAGTTATGAAAGTGTCCAGTATATCATTGTTATTTTTGCTCCAAATCATCATATTAATTGTATAGGTACTAACCTTTTTGCAGTTTCCCATTGACGAAAATATGCAAATCTTGGCGACTGAAATAAATGAAACGTAATATTGATGAGCAATCAAATATCGATCAAAGATTCAGACAGTTAAAAAAGATGCTAACAATAATTTTAAAAAGTATTTCAGAAATTGAGACACGTGATAATACATGGTATATGATATTTGAATACAAACACCCAGTATATATCTTCACATACTAAACTTTCATTTTAGGAAAAAAGAAAACACTTATGATGAAAATGACTAATTTTTTAATTCAGTAGGTATACAATGTGTCCCGAAATTAGCCTGCCGAACTACACCAGTGGCTTGTACGACCAAAAATTGGAAAAATAAATGTTTCAAAGAACATGAGTCGAAAAATGTCTCCGAAGGGAGCTACGGCCCCCTGAAAGGGGGCTCCTGAATACGATATTTTTTTTAATATTTCCGAAACACGATTCGGTACAATAGCTGAACTTTATAAGCCCAATGCAGTGAAAATAAAATCATTCCAAAATGTCATCCAGGACCTCCGAACAACGAGTCTGTTGTATGATCGAAGTCCAGGACTGTATGAAACAGGGTGGGACTACAAATATTGCTCAAACTTTTTTGTATACATTTTTTTTTTCAGAATTCAATCTCGGATTATGAAAATCCACACCTCTTTATAGAAAAAAAGGGCTTTTAATTGTTCCGAATAGATCAGATGTATCATTTTCGAGTAAAATCGATTTGAAAATATTGGTGGTTAGGTATACGTCTCGGATATTATGCATAACATTGCAATCAATCGTAGTGGATATGAAAAATAAATGCACAAAAATTGTATTAGTTTTTTATCATCATTTGCCTATTTTACGCGCTTCTGAGATTGTGTGTTGAAAAAAAGTAGTTGATTTTTTAATTTTATTAGCCACACTATGATTTGAAAATTGGCAACGTTAGGCATACGATGTGTGTAACAAAATTTTTAATCGATTTTCCTTCTTTATTTTACAAAAAATTCGCAATATTCGTCTCATTTGTGAAGCTGCCTAATTACTAGGAGACTCACTGGAACCGTAAATTCTTGTCTAATAATGTAATAACAAACCGAACCAATGATTTTTTATGTTGAATGGGAAGTCGCTTATTGATACATTAATCAAATGAAATCAGATCAAAATTAGATTTATTTTCGAATAAAAAGGTGATTCTCATTGACTAAGAATACTGCGAGTTTCATTTGGCATCGTAATGTGAATCATAAAATGACCAAAAGGGTCCGGAATAGTCATCCCAATTCAAGTCCGGCTGAACGACTATCAGAGCACAACCATGGAGCAGGACTTAGAGAACTTTTAGTACGCCTATCGGCTAAAAAAACTAGTATATTTGCCGATACGAAATCAGTCTATTAGATCCAAATCACTCTCCCACACCTATCCCACCCCTCATCCCTCATATTGTCTTTCATAGAGAAATTTTGAAAGTTGTTTTTTTATTTTTATTTTCCAACACAAAAAATGTTAAATTAGAGAGAACAAGGTAGCAATCGACGATCAATCTTTTTTGCCCTGGGCAGCTCACTGACATGAGCTGTATTAAAGGTTAACTCCTAGGAGTGAGCTCCCTCATGACTGCCATCAGGGATGTTAGACAAAAATCATCGGCATGACCTGCATCGGCTGCCTCTGAGGGCTCCCTTAGAGGGTAATTCTGTGGAGTATCTAAGTGTTCTACATTGTATGTTTTACATTTTTATCATGTCCAATGTCCCCTTTAGAAGATTTTTGTTCATACACCTTGTATTGTAAAAATGTTTTTATTGAATAAATGGAATTGAAACGGGACTCCCAATTCGAGTCATGCATGTGATATGTGTGGCATGAATGTGATGCCCTCTAATGTATCTGGGATCAATCTGTGTTAACTGGGCTATCCCGATTTTTTAATAATTTCATTTTCAATGCATTGGGCATGGAAAGTTTAGTTCTTGTACAGAAAAGCATCATTTTATCACAAGGAGTATCGAAAATATTCTAGAAATATCATCTTCAGGAGTCATTTCTTGAATCATGTTCATCGAAACTTTTCTTCCTAATTTTTTTCCCAGACAGCACTGGATATTCATAGAATATTCTCTAAATATGCTAAAAAGGAGGAGTATATTCCGAATATTCATCGATTATTCCTAGAATATATACATGCCTCAGGAACATCTAAAAGGAATATTCCAAAGTGAATAGTCGGACATGTTCAGGGTATATTCAGGTATGAATCTTCCAGGAATATTCCCAACTGAATATTCTCTGTTGTATATTCATGAAATATACCCAACTGAATATTCTGTGCGGTATATTCATGAAATATACCCAACTGAATATTCTGTGCGGTATATTCATGAAATATACCCAACTGAATATTCTGTGCGGTATATTCATGGAATATTCTCAACTGAATATTCTGTGGTGTATATTCATGAAATATTCCATGAATATTCCTATGTTTCTCAACACATAAATACCATTTATTATTTCAGAGATGTAAGTTTCGAACATCAATTTGATGTAAGGGGATTTTGAAACAAAAAGTGTTTATGATCCGATTTCGAACAATGCTCTCATGAGAACTTGATATGTATAACATTATTCATTTCGATTACTGGCCTAGTGGTCAAGGCGTTGCTCTGATAGTCTTGAGGTCACGAGTTCGATCCCTACTTGGGTCACTTTTTTCATTTTAGAATATATTTATTGGAATATTCCAGGAACATTCAACATAGAATATTCTTTTGGGTATATTCAATGATTATCTGAGGAATTCCCATTCGCATATTTAGAGAATATTCCACAGATATTCCGGAATATTCCAGATTATTTCTAGAATATTCCAATATTCCAAAAGGAATATGATAGGGAGATTCATGGAATATCTGGTGCTGTCTGGGTTAGTAGAAGCCGCAGTGGGTAGGCTAATTTCGGGACACCCTGTATAAGTACAGTCTTCCTCATAGGTCAGAGGTCATGGGTGTAGGAATCAGCGTTCACACCGTTCAACGACGGTTGACATGTTCTCTGAAGAAGCCTCTATATACCTACTGTAAAACGCTTCAACAACTTATCTTGATGTATTTTGTAAACTTTCTTTTAATATAAAGTAAGAAGGTACTTACGAGTCCATAGCGAATCTTGAAATAAAACTAATCCGAATATGTGTATATCAGCTAATAGGTAACCCACGAAATAAAAACACGAATCCACATTCCTTTGTATTATTCACTGAAGTGGCCAATGCCAAGTTGAAGCACTGTATGTTATAAACATCACCTAATTGGTATCAATTTATCCTTGATGGTTTGTTTGCAATGGTGTAATCAAAGTCAGTTAGATTAAAAAATGTTCATTATATAATATCTATAATTATTGTAATCATCATACGACATTACTGAACGAATCAAGTGAAATTAGTTTTTGACTCGAAAACAAACATTTACAGCCATTTATGATAGATACACCTATAGAAAGTGGTATACATTATTTCTAGCAATATGGTGAAAACAGTTACATTTGAATTCTCTAGATTTTTGGAATTTTCTCATTTCTACAAAAAAAATTAGTATTATTTTAATATATACAGTGAGGAGCAAAATTTCGTCGCCTCCCCCCCGTAACTTCTTTATTCTACATCAAGTATAAAATATGTTAAAACCTTCCAAAAGGTTAGGATAGGAAAGTGATGAAATACATTGCAGTTTCCTGACTGAACTGAATGGAAAAGACGAACAAAACCAATTAAAGTATCACTCAATAATATACTATCATTAAAAAAACTAGTAGGTGTATCATAAACATAAAAATAATCCAACTTTATAGGTATACTGCCATACATCTACATGACTCACTTTGAATGGTCCCCTTGTATATATCTGTTATTAGTCCTGCGATTCTTACCAAATTTTCACTGGTATGAATAACCATCAATATGATCAGTTTTTCAGAGACGAACATGTTTATGCGATGGATAGTGCCGTCCGTTTTTATTGAAATATAAATGGTAAATTTTCCACGATTTTTCATGAAATCGTATCAGGGATTTTTTTAGAAGAAAACCAAACTCATAATATTGTTCGTGGTTTCAACTTCCACATGTAAATTTTCATATAATCTCTATGTTGGGTTTCAATAAAACAGGCACATCTAAACAGCATTTTTGCGAACGTAAATAATAATTATTTACTCGGAAACGGAGTTGGAGTTGAACAAAAAAAGTACCTATATCTTGTATTTTCATTAAAACAATAATTTTCTACCTACCAGAGCAATTGAACGTTCCAAAATTTGCAGTTAATTTGAAATCATTATTTTTTCCAGACAGAAAATGAAAAAGTCGATCCTAGCGATTCGAAATGCATATGGAGTTTCAAAAAGCAATACTTTGACGTTAGTTTTCCTCCAAAAAAAATCCTAATCTGTTTATATGAAAAATCGACCCCTTTTTTTCAATAAAAAGCACGGCACTGTCCATAATGATGTTTGTATATAAATAACTGCTTATATTGAAGATTATTCTTACCAGTCCAAATTTGGTAAGATAAAATATGATACATTTACATACCAGACACAAAGAAAACAAGTTATTTTGAATATTGATATTATCTACAAAAATTATTTGTACTCAACATCATAATGATAAAATAAAATGAAGATTTGGAAACTACAGTAGGTATAAACAAAGATTTTATTATGAATATTGCTGAGCAACACCATGAGTCCCTTGTGGTCATCAGGAGTCAGGACGAGTTGTATTGCTGTACGGCAACACAGTTAACAATGAAAGACAAAATTATGAAAAGATAATCAGAACAAAGTGGTATTTTGCTAGACAATGTCAGGAAGCATAATAAGCATTTATTATAAATGAACAAGCCATATAAACAAAGCATCTACATCTATAATTATTTACTTTTAAATCCTTGAAAACACCAACGCTGATAGACCAATCAGAATTAAAAGACAGCTAGTGTTCTCATGATAATTCAAGTTATCTTTGGCTTGTGATTGGTCAGATCATAGTATCATAGATTGAAACCATATATCCCGACGTAGGGAAAAAATAATACGAAACTTGTTAAACCAATATGGCTACGAATTTCAAATTTTAAAATTGGTTTTAGTGCGTAGTTGATTGATTGTGATTGAAATTCGAATATTTTCGTTTTTAGTTGTACAATTCTTTAGTGTTTGTGTTTTCGTTTATTTGTCATAGACTGGACATTTTTAACCATGTCTAATGAAACGAAATGCAGTATTTGCGGAGAAAAGAATAGACAGGAATCTTCTTTTCATAATTAAGTTTGAATTTTCAAATTTTCTTGTTTATGTATTGACCTGCACAAAGGTACTATACTGTGGTATTATCAACAATTGATGATTTTCAATATTTCATTATGATCAAATAATTATTCACGAACCTAACCTAACTTAAAATCTGATCCTCACGTCAGCAGTTTCCATCCTTCACTTTCCGTCCTTATAGATTCAAAAAGTACCTTTCATTTTGGTCCCATTTTTGTTGAGATATCCTATAGGTGATGCGATATATATAGAAATAGTAGATATATGATTGGAACACACTCATTATGAGAGAATTTTAAGATGAGTCAAATAGTCAATGTTTATATATTTTTTGTGAATAACATAAAATCAATATTGTATCTACTAAATGACTTTAATTAACTCCTTTAAAAATCCCAACTAACAAATTATTTTTGTTTGTACAACTAGTAGGTTGCAATTTCCCTAAATGCACCTCATACCCACAGCTCTCAGAGTACAACCTCCTATCAGTATCAACAATATCCATACAAAAATAACCTTGCTGTGTCTTAACATTGTCCAAATCATGTGTTTGATCAGCAGCATGAGCAAAATTCAAATAACTCCCATAAGTTAGGTACTTAAAATCATCACTAAGAGGGTAGCTGAGGTGATGACAGTTTTTCACTCCTCCATAACAGCAAGGACACACCACGAAATGGGCCATATTGTGCATGCAACTTTGAATCACTAAGTCAGTAGCCACCCCACAGGCATGAAGGGCAACCCCTATGTCAAATTTGCCCTTGTAATAATCCAAGTTTGACTGTACAATAGTTATGTTTGCGAGCTTCAGTATCTCCATCCTTTCTTTAGCTCTAGATAGAGATTGTTCTTTATTTTCAACTAGGATTATCTCACAGGCAGGCAATAAATAAGCAACTAGGATACCAAGGTGTCCACTGCCACTGCAAAAATCAACAATGCGACATTTCTTCCCATTGGCTAGCTTAACAACAGCTTTGGCAAGGTTCTCAAGCTGTTCAAATTTTCTTGCAGCTCTCTTCTCAGGTAATTTGCCACCAACAGGGTTTGCTTCAACTGGAATTTTGGACCAGTCAAACTCAACTTCTTCACCATAAGGCACCAAACTGTTAGTAATCAGGTTCTTAATATGAGATAGCTGTTTCAATGATGATTCTATTTCAGACTGTTTAGTGTAGATGCGTTTCTCTGGTCTGTATCTAGAGGGATCTGATGTATACAAGCTCTCTTTAGTAAAGCTAGGTTCCACAATGTCAAGACATTCTTGTCCTTGTAGAAGTTCTGTTTCCAATTCTGGTAAACACTGGGTTTTCATTTGGTTGTACCACTGAACACTCAGTGGAATTTTGTCACTAATGTTTTTTGGGGCAGTTGCGAAGATCACTCTGAAGCAGTGGTACAAAATTACATCAGCTAGAGTCATGAAAGGTCCTTCACTGAAAGTGTGTTCCAAGTTCAGATCTTCAACAGGGACACTAGATTTGATGTCCTTTTTATTGTTTTTTTCTCTAGCTACCTTATAGACATTGTGTATTCTCACTGGTCTTGATAGGTGATATTCAAACTTTGCTAAGTCAACAGGCAAGGAAAATTTTGCATTCTCATAATACCCATTATTCACTATTGTTTTTGTGGTTTGTATGATATCAATTTCACAAAACCTGGTCCATATGGAACTTTCAGAACATGCCATGAGACATGCCTCACGAAAACCAAGTAAATCTAATTTTTTAGCAGTTCTGATAAGGCTTCTTGCTACAGAGCATAGTCCAGCAATTATTTGCTGTCTTGCAACAATAACTGGCCAAACTGCAAATAATGCTACTTCAGGGATATCTGAGGTGAAACTGTATTTCAGAGTAGAAAAGTTTATGGTAAGATTGGGATCCATGGGGGGTTCATTCTGAAGAACAACTAGCAAATTGACTTCTGTTTCTTCTATGTTAAAAATGGAGAGTATTACATAGGTTTCAATATTCACTACATAGACTGTTGGTGATTTTTGGTATGCAGAGATATACAGTTGATCTTTAGTCATCTAAAAAAAGATTCAATATTGTGAATTGTGCCTATATAGTTTACAAGTGATGATAAAGTTTGGACTCCCCTGTACAACAATTGTTTTGTTTTTTAGTGTAATCAGTATGTGTCTCAGATGTGATATATCAAGAAGTTTATCTTGAAATTAAAGCCCCATCATGAAACACAATGAAAACCAAACTATATCATGGATAATCCCATCAAGAGTATTTGTAATGAAATAGCTACCTTCTTAGACACAGTTGGCTAGCTGCCTTTGGACCCTCTGTAGCATTCGTTTATTCAAGACTTTCTTCCTAGCAACTACACAAATGGTGGATATGAGACCCACAAAGAATGTGAAACCTTCAAATCTCCAAAAGGCTAATTCATCAAAATAGGCAGCCCTGTCACAACTTCTTGTGACTGTCTCACCATTAGCACACCTCAAGACTTCCTTGTAGTGAGTGTGTATGCAGACACCAATATTCTTACTTCTTATTTCAAATGCTGAAAGGAATGATATTATGAGCTTGACGACCAATCATAGTAGGAACTTTTCTACCTGAACAAGGTTCACACTCTGTTATAACTTCATATTTGTCCTTTTCCCAGCAAGTTGAATTTTGCTCAACAACAAAGTTTGATCTTTTAGATTTTTTAGATTCTGTCCAATGTGATTCAATCAGGAGAACTAAAAGTGTTATTCTACAAAAAATAAGGATTGTATGGAGTACATGGATTTTTCATCTTGCTATTTACTTACATTCCTAATACTGTTATGCTTAGTACCATGCGCTTTTTAGGACATGATTCAATCATTTTATTCACTAAATAAAATTATGTAGTCCTCGTCCTCGATGTAGTCCAATTTCTTATTTCTTCTAGAGAATAGAAAATAGAATGTCAACACAAATTCAAAATACAACCATAACCTCAAATCTCAAATCGTGGTGACGTGACGTTGAAGTATAGGTCGCGTGCAAGAACTGTCAGATGACCGACCCTGGAGGCAAAACATATTTGTTTACAAGTGATCGAAATAGTTTTCCACAATTATTTTGGCATAATATGAATCGTATTTTTCCGCTATTCATCAATTCGCTAATGCCATCACATTGTGCTGTTGTAAAATGCACAAAAACTGCAGCAAAAGATGAAGAAATCCGGATGGTACATTATGATTCAAAAGTAAGTACCTACTATAGTCACTCACATAGTTTTCATTTTTGAAATTTGGTTATTTCTCTGATTTCTCATCGGAATTCCTTCTGCAATAGGATCAGCTAATAGAAATATACCTGAAATTTCTAGAATAATGCAAGAAGATTGGATTCATGCAATCAATCGGTAGGACTGGTCTGACATGCTGAAGATCATGATTCCTCTGTAACCAAATGAAAAAGTGAGGTTGTGTTTCAATAATTCACAGAAGAATGAGGTTGTGTTTCAATAATTCACAGAAGAATGAGGTTGTGTTTCGATATTTTGCCTCCAGGGTCGGTCTTCCTGCACGCGACCTATTTTCATTGGTTGAAGTTACTCGACAGATGCCAAATATCGTTTCAATTTCCATAGGAAGAACATCCGACTTCCAACTATTTCTCCTGCTCCGGGAGGTAGATGAATTTTACCCAATCTACGTTTGGCAAGCCAGACGAGCGTTATGTGAGTTTTGGTTTTGTAAGCTTTGCGGATTGAGGTTAGGGTTTAGGATTTCATAACAAAAACCAGTTCAAGAAGAAAACTTCATATGAACGTATGTCGTAAACGTCCTAACTTTTGAGATACAGGGTGTCAATGTTGAAAATATGCATTTTTTTGGCCACCCTGTATAGCTTCTCCTGATGGCAAAATGCAGTCTGCTTTGTTACTGAATCGGTATGAAAATCTCAAAATGTTACATACTGTGGTTATCCAGTAATGGATGTCCTGAATGGAGTACTCAGACATCAACATTTGAAGTCTGGTCTCGTTGTTCCGTTATTTCTCGAAAACGAAGCGTTCTCTATTGAGTATCAGCAGAAGGATCTTTTTGTGCATAATTAAAGAGCCTTTTATGGAATTGCATGAAAGTTGGAAATTTTTTGTCGTTGCTCACTTTCAAGTGAAATATAAACAATAATATTCCCGTAACGATGCCACTGGTAGAAAATTTTTGTACATTAATAAATGCACCTTGATGTATAGAAGACGTGTACCAAATGTCATCAAGATGTATACAATATTGTCTCAGCTATTATCAGAAAACTGAATATTTCCCAAAACTTCATCACCCTGTATCCCAAAAGTTAAGTCTTTTAGGAAATACGTTCATGTGGAGTTTTCTTCTTTTAAAAAGTCAAAGAATCACCCTCTCAAATATTAGCACGTCTTCAAGGAACACCCTGTATTTTTAGCCTGTTTTTAATTTTTTCGAATTGTTATAGACTTTCGAAAATAATAGTGCCAGTATATCCGTGTTCAATTCTTCATCTTATATCTTGTATACTATATATAAATGATTCCCCTGTATAATTTCATTATCGTCATTTAGTCATAGATAAATCATTTGTTCGGAGATTAATCGGTTATCAGCATGATGCAACCTATTAGTCATTCATTCGAGAACAGGTGGTGAATAAAGACAGTCTTATATTAGATGTCATCACGTTCGGTCGAATTTTGGGATCGCAAATGAAAAATACGCGAATGGAATTATTTATCGTTCCAAACGGAGTGTTCACTTGAAAATGAGTGCAAGTATTGTGTTTTTGTGTTCCTCATACAATTCAGTGATTACATTATCGTGATCGTGTGCTGTTCTGGTGTTTCGTGTTGTTTCATCAAATCTTCACATTTTTCACGCTGGTGAGTGAATAGAGATTCTCTAAAAGTTCCCCCATATTTCCCTGTTTTTATTTAACTTAATTACTTTATATGTTTTGAAAATAAGAAAGGTCCGTTCGTTGAATATTTTCCGATGAAGGAATATTTTCTTCTGATTTTCGTGCTTTTCGTTCAGAACTATATTTTTTCAGGAGATAATAATGCGAAAAGAGCAAACCAAAAGAAAATAAGACGATTCGAAATATTGTCCGGGTTTCAGGGGCGTCCGGGGACTTCCGGGCGGGTTTTGAAAAATTGTCCGGATTTTCGTTGACATAAACTACTATCATATCAGTAACAATGTTCTCAAAATTTGAATATTCATAGATTTGGTATTATTTATGTGACAGTTTTGTTTCACTGTCGATTGATAATTTATTTTTTGTTCTAATAGTATTTTTGACTTTTTCATCGGTTTGTGCAACAAAAAAATATATGTATAGGTATCTTTACCTATACATGGTAATGGTACCTACTATAGTGACATTCACCATTCACCTTTGAATTTATATACGGTGTGTCCCAGCTAAAACTTGTCATCCCCAAATCGCCGATGTCGTTAAAAAAATTGAGAATTGCACAGGTCGATTTCCAAAGTTGAAACCTTGAAGCGTATAACTCGCATTCCCTCTCGATTTTCAAATGAAACAACCTGTATTTCGCAGTGCATTTCTAGATTCTTCCTGGAGGCTTCACACTTGGTGTCTAGCGGAAATGATTACAGAGATATAGGGTGTTCAAAATCCAGATTTTTTACGTTTAGGATTTTTTTGTGTCGAAACTATTCATTATCGGTCAAAAGTCAAAACGGCTTTCAGGTAAATATCTGAAATTTTGATTTACTATCTAATGACATTTAATTGGATCAGATACAGGGTGATCAGAATTCTGAATCAATACATCACACTTGGGGTCTATCAGAAATGATTACAGAGATATAGGGTGTTCAACATCGAGATTTTTCAACTTTAGGATTTTTTTGTGTCGAAACTATTCATTATCGGTCAAAACGACTCACATGTCCCTATCTCAACTTTTGATTTACTATTTACTGATATTTAATCGGAACAGATACAGGGTGATCAGAATTCTGAATCTTGAACCACCCTGTGTTTGTACCAATTAAATGTCAGTAGATAGTAAATCAAAAGTTTAGATAGGGACATGAAAGCCGTTATGACCGATAATGAATAATTTCCGACACAAAAAAATCCTGAAGTTGAAAAATCTCGATTTTGAACACCCTATATCTCTGTAATCATTTCCGCTAGACACCAAGTATGATACATTGATGAAAGCAGCTCTTCAGGGAGAATCTAAAAATGCAATGAAATACAGGGTGCTCCATTTGAAAATCGAAAGAAAGGAATATGATAATTGAGGGAAAATGTGTCCCCCGCCAAATAGAAATCGACCTGTTCGAGCAATTTTTTTCAACGACATCGGAGATTAGGGGGTGACAAGTTTTAGATGGGACACACTGTATGTATATGAAAGTATATTTATGGAATTACAGAAAATGATGCGAGTTTTCAAAATTCCTGCTGTCCGGATTTTGTCCGGATTATCAAGTACCCTTTTAATGGGTTTCAAATTTCCGATATGGCAACCCTACCTATACAGGGTGTTTCAGATTCGAATGTACATACTATACCTGTAGATATAGGAAACTTTGGTGGTTCCAATCACCCCCTATCGATGTGTAATCTTGAATTTGGCAAAATCTGTATAATCGATATTCAAATTATGTTATTCATCAAAACTAAATAGGAATCAAATTTAGAATCCAGAACCGTCTTCAGGAAAAACAGAAAACTTCTTCTTTTTCAAAAACAACACTATACAGGGTGTCCCTAGACCAGTGGGACAGTTGAATATCTCCTGAACCAATAGGAATTTTCAAAATATTATGACTTCACATCATATTGAATTATGAGTGCTAACTTCAGGAATGACTATATTTTATACGAGGTGCGCAAGAAAGGCTCACAAAATCGAACATCGATTTTTTTCAAATGGAACACCCTGTATTTCATTGCATTTCCATATTCTCCTTGAAGAGCTGAATTCAACGACCTAGCACACTTGGGGTCTAGCCGGGTCTAGCGGAAATGATTTCCGAGATATACGGTGTAAAAAATCGAGATTTTTCATTTTTGGGGAATTTTTTGTGTCAAAACTATTCATTATTGGTCAAAACTTATCACATGTCCAGATCTTAACTTTTGCTTTACTATTTACTCGTATTTAATTGAAACAAATACAGGGTGGTGTAGAATTCTGACTGAAACTGACGATTCTACACCACCCTGTATTTGTTTCAATTAAATTCTAGTAAATAGTAAATCAAAAGTTAAGATCTGGACATGTAATCCGTTTTGACCAATAATAAATAGTTTTGACACAAAAAATTCCCAGAAATGAAAAATCTCGATTTTCCACACCCTATATCTCGGAAATCATTCCCGCTATTATTATTTCATGAAAACATATTTTTGGCCAATACAGGGTGTTTCAGATTTAAATTTACATACATCGATGTGTCTACTATCTTTCATAACTGTGATACAGAATAACGTAATCTTGATTTTGGCAAAATCTTTATCTGGTCAGCTCATAACTTTTGCACCATGGTGTATTATCGATTCATACTCGATGGGTATATTCAACTCATATCACTACTTTTCAATAGGGTGCATCCAATTTGACTTTTTTCTCATCATTATTTTTCGAAATAGTATTTTTGTTGAACTCCTGATTCAAAGTCCAATCTTATCACAAAAAATAGCCCTCAAAGTTCAACTTCATCAGAGTCAAATTAGGTGAACTCTCGATAGTTTTCATTCCATATAGAATAATTGTTAATTAGATATTTTCAAGTGCTCGTTACATTTTCAGTATTTCAAAAAATAATGATAGTTTGAAAGTTATACATGAAATTCTCTCTTTTTTTTAATCTTACTTCCAATGTCAATATCTACGAAACGAAGCGCGATATACTTTTTTTATATGAAGTACCAACATTATTTTGGCTCACTCTATCAGTCCTGTCATTTACAACATTACCTTTCCAGACA